GTGGGGGAGGAAAGTTAAAAAAAAAGAGAGAGATGTGTGGCGGGAGAATAGGGCACTGACTCACCCAAGGGGAGGGTATTGTTTGTGTCTCCACAGGGAAAAAAGGACCAGACTTAAATCCAGTATTCCAGGATGCAAATGCAGCATGCCAGGATGGATAGGGGAGTCAGTGGAGAGGCCTGAAGGCTCAGCCCCAATACCAGCTACGTGGACAATTGCCACTCCCCCTATAAGAATTTACTTTAGAGGATGGCACTGAAGCTGCAGCTAGGGGTGAGGGACATGTCTAATCAGAACACACAGGAGCAAATGAACGGGGAGGAAGAGAGAGTGGAGCACATCCTGGCCCATCAGACCTGGACGAAGATATCCCCACTCCATACAGCCAATGCACAGAGTGAACCATATGGCTGATCCCACTATGAGATATGACGTCCCTCACTGACCCATGGCCCTGCGGGGGACAACACTGGCCTGGCCTGACCCAAGGACACTGAGGCAAAATACTAAAGGGGTGTTGCAGCAGAGAAACAGGGGAAGCAGAACAGGGAGCTCCCAAGGGAGTGCAAAGGATAGACTCTGAGGCCAGAGCATGGCACCCCATCAGACTTGACTGGAGGACATGCCTAGAGGTCAAAAATCAGACCTTGATCTATTTACAGGGTTTTCTTTCTTTTAAATTTTTTAAATATCTCTTTTTCTTTTTTAAAAAATTAATTTATTCTTCTCTGCATCATTGGTTTTCTTTTTTGTTGTCATCGTTGTGTTCTCTTTTGTTGCTTTGTCTTGCTATGCCTTTTTTTTGGTGTATATTATTATCTGTGCGGATCTATCTAGATAAGAGGCTGGATGAACAGTCTGGAGGAGAAAACAACAGGACCGATGGTTCTGGGGGAACATGGGTGAGAGGGAGGTGGTGTTGACAAACCCAGGGACAAGGGAGCAACAAGTGATAAAAAAATTAGTGGCAAGGAGGATGAGAGAGGCCTGGCAGGGATTCAGCAAGGGCAGTGTAACCAAGATAAATTACTGAAACCCAAATGATGGTTGAGCATGATAGTAGGATAAGAGGAAAGCAAAAGGAAATAGAGGAAAGAACTTGGGGGCAAAGTGTATTTATAGAGATCTAAATACAGGCATGTAAATATATTTATATAGTATGGGGGGGTGTATATTTATAGGTTTAGTATTAAGGCAGCAGATCGACATTGGACCTCCACTCAAGTACTTACTGAGTGCAAGAACACTCTTTTCTATTAAATTGGCATTCCATGATGCACACCTTCCGACACCATCACTGAAGACAAATGTGTGCATAAGCAAATGTGGTGAAGAAAGTTGATGATGCCCACCTATCAGAAGATATAGTGTCTGGGGTCTTGAAGGCTTGAAGAAAAACAAGTGGCCATCTAGCTCAGAAGCAACAAAGCTCACATGGAAGAAGCACACCAGCCTGTGTGACCACGAGGAGTTGAAGGGATCAAGCATCAGGCATCAAAGAACAAAAAATCATATCATTGTAAATGAGGGTAAGTGCAGAGTGGAGACCCAAAGCCCATCTGTAGACAACTAGACA